TTTATGTTTATCTGGTGATTGTATGTTGGAGAGATTTGCCCCAGATTTTAATTTTCTTTGTTTCATTTGGATGTTATCTAAGTAAATGGGGTACTGTGCTCCTCTATTCACTAGTTGGCAGCACTTATACACTTATCACCTGTCTCCTTTCCCATTGTTGGCCTCCCATATGTCCTTGCCATCCTTTGTGACATGGAGCCTATTCTTAGGTCCCTGGAATCTGAATGAGAATGCTATCACTTAAGTATCCCGAATGGCTGCCTCTTACAAACATTCAAAATGGCTATGCCTTTGGTTACTTTAAATATCCAAAATGGCCACAGCTTGTAAATTCAGAATGGCTGCTCCCTCGGTCACTTTAAATGTCCAAAATGGCCACCACTTGTAAACAACCAAAATGGTTGCGCCCTCTGGACAGCTGAAAGTCCACAGCTCTCTTTGTTTCCCTCGTTGCTGTTTCCCTTCTTAGTCATCAGCCACCAGTGCAATCATCCCTGAATCCCTTGGCAACCAGGGGTGATCTTTAGGTCAATCTTCAGGTTCCAGCACTACTTGGAAATATTCAGGCTGTTGGTGTCAACAGAGTAGCTGACAGTCCACAGCTCCATCCATCTCCATATTCATTGTTTTCATTCAGGTTCTTTCACTAGTTGGTGCCTAATCCACTTCTGTGTAGTTCCTTTCAAAGCTCAGGCCTCCAGGAGTATCTTCTGTATCTCCATCAGTTGGTTTCTCTTTTCTTTGTTGAAGAGAGTCTGTGTTAGCTTGTCCACCTATTCCACCATCTTACTGGAAGTAGAATAACATTATTACATATTAAGAAATGTTTCAAAATTCGAAACTGAATCTGGGAAAATTGAATCTAGAGTAATGTTTCTCAGTTCTCCTTTTTTTCATTTTTGCTTCTCTTCAGAGACTCTTTAGACATTTCTTTACTAAGCCTCTCTCTTTCCCCGGATTTTGTGTGCCATGCATTGTTGTTGTTACGTTGTTATGTGCCGTTGAGTTGTCTTCGACTCATAGCAACCCATCCATGGATTTCCGAGGCAGTATCACTATAGAAGTAGATTGCTCAATCTTCCTCCTGAGGAGTGGCTGGTAGGTTTGAACTGTCAGCCTTCTGGTTAGCAGTCAAATGCCTTAGGCACTATGCCACCAGAGCTCCCATACTATGCATATACTGTGTATATCTCTTGATGTACTGTGGGCTTTTGGAGGGCCACAGACTACTGTAATATCTAAGTTTTGTTTTTTTGTCCTCCCCCAAGAACCACTTTTTGCCACAATGACCTTAGCCTGATTGAGAATGTGTGTCCTAGAAGTAGATAATTTAGAGCTCTAAAACCTAGGTTGCATTTATCTCTAAACCTAAAAGTAACTTCATTGCAGCAAACAATTATTTTAATATATCACATTGGCAATAGATCAGAGGCACACATCACCCTGATACATGATTATCGTGAATGGTGTCAAATATACTGCAAAAGAAATATATTCACAAAAGAACATATTAAGATGGCCAACAAACACATGAAGAAATGCTGGTGATTATTAGCCATTAGAAAGATGAAAATCAAAACAACAATGAGATGCCATCTCACCCCAGCAATAGTAACAAAGTTCAGCAAGACAGAAAACAAATTCTGGTGAGGATGTGGAGAGATTGGAACTCTCATACACTACTGGTAGGACTGTAAAATAGTATAACCACTGTGGAAAACATTATGGTGCTACCTTAAAAAGTTGGAAAGAGAAATATTATTTGATCCAGCAATCTCTGTCCTAAAGAAAGGAGAGCTGGAACATGAATAGGTATATGCACAATCATGTCCATTATAGAATTATTCACAATAGCATGGAGATGGAAACAACCTAAGTGCCCATCAGTGGGTAAATGAATAACCAAACTATGATGTATACACACAGTGGAATACTATGTGACATTAAAGAATAATGAAGAATCAACAAAACACCTCATAATTATGCTAAGTGAAATATGTCAATTACCAAATATTGTATGAGTCCACTATTATAAAAAGTTAAGATAAGGTTTACCCATGGATGGAAACTTTCTTTGTTGGTTACCAGGGAAGGAAGGAGAGGGAAGGGAAATTTTCTACCTAGGTAAAAGATTCATGTTGATTTGGGTGAAGATAAAAGTGATATA